GTTCAGCAGCTGAAATGCCAAATCAGCTGTTTGCAAATTATAAATCCGATTGTCCTCTCTTATTCACCATTCACTTTCAGTGGAATCCAAAATGTATCCTTAAAACACCTACTTGACAAAGTAAAAAGGTTTTGCTCTTTACAGGATTTTGTGTGGTGTAAAACCTAAAAAATATTCCTCAAACTAGGTAAGCTTGTTTAAAAATTTGGGTCACAACTCCTCCCCTCCTCCTCCTTCAGTAGCAACTTAATTTCACAGTTAGTCACGTGGGCTCTATTTGTAGAGGCACATCATCTGCAAGTACAAACTCACTCCCAGAAGTTTAATCTTCCTCCATAGTAGGAATCATTTACAATGCGTCCAATTCCCTCCTGAACCACCACAGCTCGTATAATCACAGATGAAAATCCAGCGACCATGATTCCAACCTGGAAAACGTCTGTCCACACCACTGCCTTCAGACCACCCTGTATGAGGAACAGCACATATCAGGTACAACAGGGCAGCAGCACTCTTGCTTTGCACTCACATTCAACTAAGAGAAACATTACTACCCATACTATGCATAATAGATTAATTTCATCTTCTTTAATAGAAATAATTCTGTACTGGAGTGTTTAGGAATTGCATCCTGTTCAGGACATCCTGGCCCTTTTTTGAAGTGCACTAGAATTTACTTTGGCCATACACATAGTTGAATGCAGTATTTCCCTCATCGCATAACCTGATTCATAAGTTTGTATCAAAAGATAAATTGGCAGACAGTGCTCATCTTACATATATACAGGACCACTAACTCCAGAAGGCATACCATTCATGTGAATAAAAATAAACATGATTTAATCCAACATATACAAATAAATTTGTCACTGAGGTTCCATTTAATAATTTCTAGACACCTGGTCAATTAACACTAATCTAAAGACCAATCTGTTCATGTGGCACTTGTTATTTTCAGTGGCTCTATTCAATAACAGACAGGACTATTATAGTTTCAGTGAGCAGGTGCTTGACAAATTACACAGCTAAACCCTATTAGATTAGAAGAAAAATTGCAGGAGTATTTTTAGGAAGGGGAATCTATCTTTTTGCTGTTCTTTCAGCAACAACAGAAGTTTGAATGTATCAAAACAGAAAAGGTTTGAGTCACATCGTGGCTACCTTTGCACCCAGAGAACTCCCTGGGTGAATATGGCCCTGTGGCTACAGCTACACTGTGAAATGTACGCCCAAGGGGTAACCTGGTTATTAGGCTACTTTCCAGTAAATTCCATGTATGATGTGAATGGTGAAAGGAACAGAGATTTTTCTTAGCTGAAGGGCCCACGTACCAGTGTGCAGTAGAAAGTGCAGACCACGCCGGTTGCCACCACTGCACCCCACAAGTCGAAGCCAGTGACTGAAAAAGAGAGAAATGGCACCAGTGTGAATGAGGCACTGGGGACAAAAAACTGAAGGTCGATTTTGCACCCCCAATCTGGTTGTTGAAAAAAGCTAGAAATAAGTTAAATGCAAAAGTAGGAGGTAATAAAAAATGGCAATGAAAAGATTTGTGTGTCTAAACCCAGGGGTTCACCCTAACCAGTTCTAAAAGTCAAACAGTTGTTACAGACATTGGAAACTGCTAAAAAGTTCGATATATTTCAGGACCTAAGAAGCCATTTGTCTTTAATGTGAATGCTGCCCAACACCACATCCAATATGTTTGTAGGCCCTAACTCAGGAAGGTTTTAAAATACATGTCCTTCCTTTGAAGTGCCTGGGTAGTCCCAGAGAGTCCTTAGGCAGGGATTTAAGCAGGTAAACAGCATGGGGATGCTCCATGGAGGCAAAGTGGTTCAAGCATGGTCTGGAAGAACTGTGTCAGACTAAAAGCCTTTCTTTTATTCTTCTGTCTTTTAGGGAAACATGATAGTATGTTTACGCTAGACAATGCTGTGCTGTGGCTGGCGTACAAGCTGTCACTGCCCCCAGCTTGGCACGCTCACATGCTGCCAGGCAGGGCACTGGGGGCTCCGCAACAGATAGCTCAGGCTAATTAGAAACACGGCAACAAAACTAAGGAAAATCATTGCTTCTAGTTGGGAGCCAGCTAGGTCATAGCTTGGTTTAGGCAAATAGAAACATCAAGGACATAAAACCTGTTGGACTTATATACCAGAGGAGACCAATGCAGACAGTGTTGTTTTTTCTTCCTTTTTGTTCAATGAACAAGCCAAAAAACCCAGCAAACAGAACAATTGTGATTTTCATTCTAGCCAAAATGATTAATTTTTTATTTGCATTTTGTTATTGCCTTTTCTTGCCAAATGGACAAATTAATTGTGTCAGATTAAAAGTTTCATTTGGCTCCACATAAAAGCTTTTTCCCCTTTAAAAATAAATGTGGCTCATTTTCAAAGCAAAGAGTCATTTTGAAGTAGAAAATGGAAATATTTCATTTTGTAAATATCACAACAAACACCTTAAGTTGAAGATCTCTTTGCTGTTGATTTGGTTTTCCATGCAAAATGACAGGCCAAGTTAAACAGTTCCAGGCAGCCCAAAACCATATTTACAGAACTTTTGCCTCACTCTCCTCTTGAAGAAGAGCACTTAACCAGGGGAATTAAATGTGTGTTTAGTTGGCATTGCCTTCAAAATTTACTTAAGTCTTCTTAACTTTTCTGAATGTAGCAATGACCTAAGAATATTGTATAAGAGGTGGGGTAAATGAGAGCAGATTTTTCCCCTCAAACCTCTTCTATAATTCCTTACACGTAGGGATTCAGGGACTAGGATTCCAAATGTGAGGACTTCAACCAGAGTTCCCATCAGGATCAACAGGAATCTTAGAAGACTTCACAGTCAAGCCTTCAGCTATATCTTTAGGTGTGCATTACCAAAAAAAGCATACCAGTACTATACACAGAAAAAAATATAACAGTAGAAGAACAGTTACAGTATACTTATTTTACCTTGATTTAGTGCTAAAGCTGGAGCATAAATGACAATACCAGTGTATAAAACCTAGAAGGGGAAAAAAGATATAAGATCAAAATAAATATAAATTCCTGGAAAGGTGATAGTTTTCAGAGATGGTTTCTTTTCAAGCATTTATTCAGTCTGTATTTCCTAAATTCATAACTGTTGAGAAATAATTCCAGTTGTTAGAAGATGAATGTCTGAGACTAACCAGCACTGCAGTCTCACAGCCTAGTGTTCTTAAAACAAATACCAGGGACTCTTGAATACCAAATCCCTCTTCAGCTTCTCCTGGCTTTTATAATTAACTTATTTTATTGCTTTAAAACTGCAGTCATATGGCAGAAACGAGCAAAAGGAAGTTGATGAGGTTTACACACAGTTTGCCAAGGAATCTATTACAATTTGTTTTCTCAGTTTTGGGATCAATATGCCTCTCAGTATGCAACTATAATGCACATGAGTAAGAACAAAAAATACAGCATTAGTTAGTCATTATGGATAGCATTATAAGGAATTACACTCCTGTAAGATGAAACCATGCATGATTATCAGCAGATTTGTATTTTCACCCAATACAGTAAGGATATAGACAAATCAAGGAGCTATTCCATCCACTTTCAAGGGCACAATGACAGTCATACACTGCTATTCTCTATAATTTTTATGTGTATATTTTTAAATCCTGTTTGCTTTTTTATGACTGTTATTACTTCCTTGTACTACTAGGACAAGTTCAGCTGTGACATGGTTCAGGGGAATACAGCTTGCAATGTGCAGATGACTTCTGTGAAGGTCAGTGGTCTTGATTCAAAGGATCTAAGTCACAGTCAGATCCTGAGCTGATTTGCATCAGCTTTCCATGACTGAACTCTTCTGAATCCCAGATTTACAGGGGTGGGACTTGGGCATGGAAAAGCAGCAGAATCAGATGTCATCCAGCATTCAGCAAGCCTCTGCCCTTCCTAAGTCTGCCCTAGGCACAGGTGGTAAACCAGAGCAGGATGGCTAACCGCTGGATTATTCACTGTGGCTTTTGAGCAGGTCAAATCCAGATGCTGTGGCAAAGCTCTGCCATATGGCCAGTGGCTACGCTGGGGAGACAGCCAAGAGGTAACTGGAGTGGTAACCCAGCTGTGGGAGGAAATGAGTATGGAGGCACTGCTGCACCCAGCATGGCCAAATTGCCCTGGCCCTTTTCTGTGCACCTGCTACAAGCACATGCCAGAAAGGATGGTGGGGCCACTGGGGAAATAGTTATTTCTACCTGTGTACTACTCCCTGTGTGCATGTGTGCCCATTTGTTTCTCTCTGTGCCATGAGTCCTCTCTAGGTTTTCATATACAGGTTGTATGCAAAGAAAGTTGCCAGTCCTGACCAGTCCCTAGTGAATGCCCCCTCAGCACCGTTCGTGTCACTTCACAGCCAACAACTACTGACACTTATCAAGCCCTTTCAATGCTTGACTTGCTGACCACGCAGTGACTGTCAGCATGGGTTGCTGAATCATAGAATGGTTTGGGTGGGAAGGGACCTTTTAAAGGTCATCTAGTCCAACCCCTCCTGTCATGGGCAGGGACATCTTCCACTAGATCAGGTTGCTCAAAGCCCTGTCCAGCCTGGCCTTGAACACTTCCAGGGATGGGGCATCCACGACTTCTCTGGGCAACCTGTTCCAATGTTTCACCACCTTCATTATAAAAAAAAAATTTCTCATATCCAGTCTAAATCTACCCTCTTTCACTTTAAAATGTTGCCCCTTGTGCTGTCACTACAGACCTTGGTAAAAAGTCTCTCTCCATCTTTCTTATAGGCCCCCTTTAATTATTGAAAGGCTGCAATAAAGTCTCCCCAGACCCTGCTCTTCCCCAGGCTGAACAACCCCAACTCTCTCAGCCTTTCTTCATGGGAGAGGTGTTCCAGCCCTCTGATCGTTTTCATGGCCCTCCTCTGGACCCACTCTAACGGGTCCATGTCTTCCTTGTGCTGGGAACCCTAGATCTGGCTGCAACACTCTCGGTGGGGTCTCATGAGAACAGAGTAGAAGGGGAAAAATCACCTCCCTTGACCTGCTGGCCACACTTCTTTTGATGCAGCCCAGGACAGGATTGGCTTTTTGGGCTGCAAGTGCACATTGCTGGCCCATATCCAATTTTTCATCCATCAGTACCCCCAAGTCCTTCTCTGCAGGGCTGCTCTCAATCAGTTCATCCCCCAGCCTGTACTGATATTGGGGATGGCCCTAACCCAGGTGCAGGAACTTGCACTTGGCCTTGTTGAACTTCATGAGGTTCAAATGGGCCTACTCTTCAAACCTGTCAGTGTCCCTCTGGATGGCATCCCTTCTCTCTAGCATATCAACTGCACCACTCGGCTTGCTTTCATCCGCAAACTTGCTGAGGGTGCACTCAATCCCACTATCTATGTCATTGATGAAGATATTAAATAGTATTGGTCCCAGTACAGACCCTTGAAGGACACTACTCAGTACGGGTTTCCACTTGGACATTGAGTCGCTGACAGCAACTCTTTGGATGCAGCCATCCAGCCAACTCCTTATCCATCTAATAGTCCATCCATCAAATCCGTATCTCTCCAATCCTGCTCATTCAGGGAGTCAGCATGAGAAAGTGGCTTTCTCATATGCAGCAAACAAGTGCCAGAAGCTTTGAACCATCAGAAATTAAACATTGTCACAAGTATGATCACATTTTTGTGTAAATTAAAACAGGACTGATGATACAATCTTTCCACTTCTTCAGTGGTTCTTCAGATTGTATTACTATATATCTTTTTTTTTTTTTTTCCTTCTTTTAAACACCTGCCAATATTCACAGAACAGTTAAAATTACACCACTAAAATCTTCGGGGGGTTTCTCACCATTCTTTTCATTATTCAGGTTAAGTTGTTAGTGCTTGGCACAGAAAGACACCTAGAGATCTTTAGCTAATTTCCTTGGGAACATTTTTAAGTTGTATAGAATTATTTTTCTGATCTTTGCAAGCAAAGATTATGCTTGGCTTGTTCCAACTTAGGCAACTGTGATGTCTTCATATTTGTTGGTGTAACAGTGTCCTATGGGCTTGTGTATCCACAATGCCAGCTAAGCAGCACTTTTCAAATAAGTAATTAACGCTGCATTGACCACCATCCTACAGGTGCAAGTGTGATTGTCCTGTAACTCACAGTGTGTCTTAAAAATACAAAAAGGGCAAAAAGCAAGCATGTAGCTTGAAAGGCTTTCTGATTGTATATTCATTCTTGCTTTGAACTCCCCAAAAAGTCCACTTCAAAACTATGAAAAGAACACTTTTTTGTTTCTAGTGCATTTGGCACACGCTCACTGTGCATTTAAAAGCTGTGGTCTCATACTGACTCACTGAATGGGCTGGGATACAGCAAGCTGCATCAACAATAACTGCAGGGACTGCTTTAGTTTAACATTCCCCAAGGCAGTAATTTGCTACTTCTCAGTTTGCAGACACTCAGGTTTTTTCCAGTGGTGGTGGTACAAACCCTTGTGCAGCAAATGACAGCTCCTGACAGCTTGTTTTGTCACCTTTCACAGACCCTTCGGAATTAGTCAGACTCCCAGCATCCATGGACCAGAGGATGAAAACTGTCGCTGCAGATAATTGGGGCATGTTTACATTTGGAACTCCTTGTGGATTTCTTGAGCAGGCAGGCGAACAACTGCTCTTTCGCACTGCTACCCTGCAGTGAAGAGTTGCTCGTCTCCTGGCAGGGCACTGATGCCAAGCGACTGCTCTGGGTGCTCAACAATGTACGCAGAGACCCAAGGGCAGGTAGCCCACCATCCGCTCCCCACCTCGTTGCTTTGGAGTGGAAAGAGCTTTGTTTCTCCCACTCCCAGCCACCCATGCGGTGTGGTAACCTCACCAACCATTCAGGGGAAACATCCAGTTACACTAAGCTGAAGAATCCTGGTGGCTACAAGGACCACAGAACAGCTTTGAGGTTTACTTGCCGTTTGTATAATGAAGAGGACTGTTCCACAGAGGCGCAGGTATTTATTAAATCGAAGCTCTAAATACTGCAAAAGAGAAGAAAAAACAAATGTTTATATCAAAACTTGGCACTATTGATAGGACTAGAGTGAAGCAATGAGCAATACAGAAAGGGCGTAGTGTGGTTTCTACATTTGCATGAATGGCCAAAACTCCTAAAGTCACCTTGACTGGTATTTCTTTCAACTTGATTTGATATTTCTTTACAGACCTCACGACTGGGTGATGACACACGAGCAAGCGAAGTAGAAACAAGATAGTCCGTATACGATGGAGTGTGCAGAATGGAAACTGGTGCTACCCAGCTGCCTCAAGGCACTCAATAGACAAGGAGCTGTGCACCCTGACCTGGCAAAGACCAGCACGTATTATTGCAGAATCATTGAATATCCTGAGTTGGAAGGGACCCACGAGGATCGTCAAGTCCAACTCTTGACTCCGCATGGGGCAACCTAAAAGTTCACGATGACATACCAGCAAACAACAGAACCTACTTGCGCTGTGAAATCAGAGGGAAAAAGAAAACATTATGGCTATTCCTAAGCCTTAGTTGATTTGGTAACTCTGGCATTATGGGTGTCCATCTGAACTGCTGCAAGAGAGGGCAGGTTTTCAATGGTCAGCAGCTTCCTCCCATGGTAATCTCACCTTCTGCACTGCCCAAAGTAGCCCGCCATATTCTACCGGTAAGTGGGAATCTAGCCTTTTGCAAAACAGGAACCCTCACTTTTCTGTCTAGCCTGGAACAGCACAACCTCTGAATGAGTTTGTCATGCTGTAGGGCAGATTTCTTCCCACCATCTGTCCTAACAACCCTCTAAGGTGTGTGGTTGCACAAAAGGGATCTCCTTTGCCTGCCAATCTGTTCAATCGACAATCACTGAATTATCTCAAAGTCCTCACTCGTGAACTGAGCATTTAAATGTGATCTGTGAGCAGGTCCACACACGGAAGCAGTGCTGAACCCCTGGACAGACACAAAAAGTTGTTTAATCTCTGAACTCTGTCCACAAATAGAAGCTGTATCTTTTATAGGTGCATTACTCTGATTTAACCCTAAGATTATCAGTGAGTTTCCAGTCATATGTCTTTATTTAAAAGAGCCCTATTTCAAGTATCATCGTAACTGACAGTCCAAAGATTAGTAAGTTTAAAACACACCAGAAGCCACCAGAGATTTCTGTTGGTGAATTCTTATCGAAATCTACCAACAGAAACCTTAGTTTCAGCCTTCAGTGCTGCAATGCCCCTGTTCAGTGTAATAAAATACAAAAGACCAAAGGAGCTAGCCAAGGAATTTCTCCTGCACAGATGCCCCTTTCCCAATATCATCTGTGAAAAGAGCAATTTGCCTCCAAAGCTGCAGCTAGGAACTACCTCCATGCAGGAAGATAAACAGGTTGTACAGACCTTCTAAATCAGAAGAAAGTCCTGACCAGATGCTTCCTCACCCCAAAACAATCAGACTCAACCTGTCACGTGTCCCACCACCCCAGATGTCTCTGCGTTGCTAGCTATAGTTTTAGCTTACACGCTGAGCTGAAGACCAGCTCAGACATATTTTGGTGGAAGTAAGAAAACTCTCGCAGACACAGAGCATTGCTGACCTCCCTGTATAAGCACAATGGAGAAGGCATTCACCAGTGTGAAGAGCCTCAGGTGGAAAGGGTGTCTCCCCAAAATCTCTAGGAACAGCACAAACATATACTCTGCCAGATGGGGACTTTTGTGGCAGTACCTGAGCTTAGAAATCTATCTGGAGGGAGCATGATTTGAGAACTCTGGTTCCCATGTTAGATGCTCTTGAACTCTGCTCTTGGTATATTAATTACACATCATTAACCACATGTCACCATGCAAGCTGCATGAGGATTAACCCACCTGCTG